CGCATTACCATGAAACACCCTCTCGTGGGGGTCCTACCCCAAGCTATCTCAAAGACACCCTAATCTCTTCTTTCCATGGATAGTTTTACATTTGCATTCCTTCAACAGGTCAAAAGCTGTGCCAGTGTCCCATGCATTTATTTCAAGAAGTCAACAGGAATGCACCTCAATCTCCAGTCTCTCTGAATGCTGTGTCTTCTTCCTCTACACCAAACCTTTTTCCACTTCTATGCTAGCAGCTCTGTCCATAGTTCTTCTCCTTATGCTACTACCTGGTCTGTCAAGGAGGAGTTTCTGCCCCTTTCCCCATATTATTATCTCGTTGCAGATCCCATTACAGTGTTCCTAATCATTACCAAGGGCCAACAACCATCTCATTCCCTCACACATTCACATCAGAACTGTGTGCTATTCTGTCCTTTCTTCGAGCCTCCTTCCAGTCCTGAATAAACATCTTAGCTCCAGTTCTCTTGGCCTTCCACCTCTCCTTTGACTTCTGTTTGGGCTAGGTGGTCTTTGGGCCTCCCTGCTATTCACACACCAAGCACTCCAGTTCCTCTCTAGGTAGGATTTGTGTCCATACTGTGCACAGGTTTCTCTTAACTCTACTGACAGACAAGACAGAAGAATCATTGTGCTGGAAGGCACTGATGGGTGGTATCTGCAACTTCTTTGATCTATAGCCAACTGCAGAGGTGTTAGAAAACTGTGGTTGGATTTGGCATGTGCCAGGCATCCAATGTGTGTTCCCTATTTATTTTTCCTTTTGGTTTTCAGGATCCTCTCCCAAATGAATATATAACTAATTTATTCCACTACTTGAAAGAATGTAAATACAAAAATGCCATCCAACAACCACAAAAGACACAGAGAGGCAAGTCAAAGAATCAGTATTGCAGAAATACACACGTGGATGGCTCACAATCCATTATCATATTTAGCATTCAGAGAACCTAATCCCAAAGCCTTTGCAAGCTAAGCAGAACATAGAGAATAGCAGATGGAGACATGGGGAAAAAAAGTAAATGTCACCACATAATTTTTTACATTAGTTTCAATGCATTTTTTTATTCTCACTGTTTCTCGGGATGCCATTGGATTTGTGCATGACTGAATTCTTAATACTTGTCTATTTGACAATGAAACTGATGGTATTTGGGAAGGAATTCTCTTCCACTTCCTAGCTGAAGGACTGTTCCATTTGTAATTAGTAGTAAACAGGCATCACAGTAATCTCAGTAACATATAGGTATTCTAATGTATTTTTCTCCTTGAGTAGGGTTTGGTGGTTAGTTTGTGGCTTTTTTTCCAAGACCTCTTTTTAACCAGCAAAATATTTCCTTTATATATTTGTGTGTAAATGTTCATATAAAAATTTAGTTGCTCATGTTATGTTCCCTGAATCATTTATCAGCGTACTACAAGGAAATGACCTATCTGCCCCCTTTTCAGGGTAGCCCCATGCAATGATCAAGAGGCTAAAACTCGTGGTTAAAACCGGGCCCTCAGAACACACGTTTAGACTAACTACAAGAAAGCATGTGTACCCTTCATCTCTACCACAACAACCGGGCCTGCTCGGGAGCCCGGGCACGACGTGCTTGGTGGCCCGGCCTCGGACACCTGTGACGGCAGACACTTGTTCTCCAGCTGCCTTTTCCTCGGTGTGATTGCGCCCCGTCTCCACAGCAGTCAGGCTCATGTGACAGGCTCTTATCTCCCGGAACATTAAGCCAGCACAGACCTCCTCTTCCTCCCAGCCCCCTCAAGCGGACGGCAAAGCGGGTGGTTCTCCCCGGGCCACCCCCTGCGCCGGAAGCCTGCGGGGACAGTAAGGCCGCCGAGCACCCTCTGCGCCGCCCTCACTCCAGGTGGCCGCCACTACCGTGCGGGTATCCGTCTCCTCCCCGCCTAACGGGCAGCACACAAGCTGTTCCTCCCGCCCCGCCGCGGCCGGGCCGCCAGGAAGCGTATGGGGCCACCTTAAGAGCGCGAGGAGCCCCCGCACGCAGGGCCCGGGCGGCTCCTCCCCGCCCCGTGTCGCATCCAGCCTGGGAACGCGTGGCGGGGAGCCCAGCCGCGGCGGGGACGCGCCGCAGGGACTGTGCCGGCCCACGAGACAGGGGGCACGGCTCCTGCGGCCAGAGGGGCGAGAGCGGCGGCTGGTGTGCTGGGGCGGGGGCGCCTGGCGCGCTCCCACCAGCTCCTTCGTTCCACGGCACTCATTGGCGGGAAGAGGGGGCGGGGGTATCCCGCAGCCCGCTGCCTGGTTGGCTCCTGCAAATGTCCATCAAAGGGCGACGGCGGCGGGGGAGAATTCATCCTTCTGATTGGCCTCTGCCGGAGGGAAGGCGGGCCAGAGGGAAGGGAGGAGCAGCTCCCATTGGTCACCCCCAGCGTGTCAGTCAGATGAGTCATAAAAGGCCGCGCGGCCGGCGGGAGCGGAGCGCGGGCCCCCGCGGCGGGGCTGTTTGTCACTGTGCGCACCACTCACTTCCTGTCCGGGGCCGACGGCTTCCGGAGAGCGCCGCGGCCCCCGACGGGTGTCCGTGTCCGTGTCCTTCGGCTGGCGGCCAGCGCATGCGCGGCCGGGATGGCGGTGTCGGGCCGTGCGCGTGCAGCCGCGCTTCTCATGGCGCAGCGGCGCAGGGCGGCTTCGCGTCGGAGTCGCCGTGTAGCCGGTGCCTCCCTGCGTGTGGGCAGCGCGCGTGTAAAATGGCAGGCGGCGTCTGCGTGCTGTCTCCCGCAGTTTCACGCAACGTCTGTTGCGTTTGCGGGTGGAGCGGTGCTGTGCTCAGTGCCGGGCGTGGGGTGCTCGGTTCGAGCATAGCGTGCGGCGCTTGGGTGTGTGATGGTGATGACGAGGGGGGAGCTCAGCATCCCCCTTGCTGTCATACTTGGCGGTCGCGGCCCTGTAAATGGGAGTAAAAGGAGCCATGACATTTGATTGAGTCATTTGCGCAGCAGCTGTGACTGAATTCACAGGGTGAACTGTATCCTTTCCCCACCTAGGCTCCACTCGAGCTCAGAGTGTGTTCTGTCACAACTGTGACTGCTAAAGGAGTGTGCCGGCGTACCATTAAAAAATAAAGTCACCCCTGCTTCAGAGATGTCAGTCGCTGGGAAAGATAATGGAATACTTCAGGTAGACAGAAGCCCTTCTGTCTTGTCACCACCCATTGAAGCAGTTTCACATGGACTACCCTGTCTCTGCTGTGGGCCCAACCCTCCTTTCCAGAAGGACCTGCAACTATAGGGGGCTTTTCCTGAAGCCTGCAGAAGCCTAAGGCAGGACGTTAGTAGTAATTTCCATACAGGAAGTCTTTTGCAAAAGGAGGGAAGACCTAGTCTCCATTTCTCAGTGACTGATGGTTTGGTCTTTGTTCCTTCCAGGCCTGACTGTGTAGGCTCCAAGCCATCGGCTTGGCTGTGATAATAATTTTTCAGACTATAGCTGCACTTTAATGTGCTTTGAAGCAGGTAGTTTTGTGAATTGCAGAACTAACAAAGCTTGGTTGCTTATAAGTTTTGGTCTCACAATTGGATTTTTTGACGACTGATAAAGCACAAGTTCTAACCGATGCTTTTCCCCTAATTGGTAATGTCTCTTTTCATTCTAGTTCTCTTATGCCTTTTAAATCTAGTGTGTACCGTGACCTTCTCTCTGCAAGGACAAAATAGTCTTTCTCCTGTGTTTGGTCTCTTATTTTCGTGAACTCTACAGGAGTTCTTGTTTTTTTAGATGTCTGCAATGGACTTTCATTCTTATTGTAGCTCTATAGCAAATGTTTAAACCTGGCACCTGCTTCACCCTCAGTCTTTCAGACAGGTGTAGTGACTGTAGATAAGTACTGGAGCAGAGTGGGGCTCATTCCCAAGGATCATGAGCAGAAGGAAACTGCTCCTTCTGGGCCTGCCCAAGGTTGAATGCCGTATTTGAAAGAGATGTGCTAGCATATCTTAGGTAAATGCTTGTTACCAGCTTTGGATAGTTGGAGGCAGTTGCTTCTTTAAGCCTTTTTTACTTGAAGCTCTTCCTGTTTATGTGAATGATTAAATATTAATGGAGACAAAAATAGATGGATTATAAACTCCAGTCTTCAGGACATTCAATCAGTATATGTGAGATACCAGGGAGATGCAAAATGTCAAATGCTTACAGCAAAATACTTAAGTGCATGTTCGGACTGGGTATCTCTGATAGAAAGCAATGTGGGGAGGCAGGATTTGGGATCCACATTTCCCTCAAGCTGGGGAAAATGTTTTAACCATGACACGCTTGATCTGCCCATCCCTTCCTATGGGTTCTTTGTGACGGAGATGTGCTCTGAATGGGCCTCCATGAGCGATATCTTCTAGACTAGTGGGGGGAAATCGGACACAGGAATCTTGTTCTGGAGCTTCCATTCAAGCTGAAAAGCTTGGAGTGTGAAGTCAGAGGTGACAGAATTCATACTTAAATGCAGACTTCTGCATGATTTTGGTGCTCATAAGGCTAGAGAGCAGGGGACAACTGGGGATGGGATTCCTGGCTGGCCAGTGCTTTGCGGTCTTCTGAAGTGTTACCAGTGGCCTGTTCTGCTGTGCTTTGTTCTAGCAGACTTGGATGAAACAAAGGAGCTTTCTTGGACAGAGAAGGGGATGTTAGTGAAAGAAGTGAATTTGTTCTATGTGCATTTTCAGTTCATGCTGGTTTTCTTTCAGTGTAAAACATCTAAAAATTTTTCCATGAGAAAATTATTTTTGTGATAACTGAACTTTCCTAACTCAGAAGGTTTATGTAGTATTCCTATGTTAAAGATTATGAAGTACTTACAAATAAGACCTTTCAGTAGTTAGACAAAATTATAATCAGTATCAGATTCTAAGGCCCAAAAGCTCAGAGGTACTCTTACACGTTATGTTAGACAGGTTCAATGAATACAAAAAACAATGCAGCAGAGTTTTTAGCGATTCTCTGGTAAAAAGCTTCTTCTTTTTAGCGATTCTCTGGTAAAAAGTACCTTCTTACTCAGCAGTTAAGATGCTTAGGTGCATTCTGACTAACCTTCTGGCTTGGCGGGCTGAGATAATTTTTACTGCTTTTCTTGCCTGTTAACCCTGCAGAATTAAAAGAATAGCTGTAAGAGAGGAAGCTGGATATTGGTCCTTTCTGTACTGAATTGACAAAATTGTATTCTAAGTTTCAGATAGTCATAGTGAACAAACCACAGGATCAATTAGTAACTGTCCTTAAAGGAAACCCCTGGGTTGTGCTTCAGAGTTTGGGTCTTCATATTAGGCAGTGGTGCCAGGAAAGGAAAGCTGTGGTCACATCCCAGGACTGACAGCAAGGAAAGCTCTGCCTTCCTTAAGGGAGGACAGAAGTTGCTGTGAAACGGTAAATGTAGAACCATCTCAACTCGCTTTTCAAAGAGCCACTGCACTTGGCAGACACTGACACACAGAAAGTCTGATTAGCAGGCTGTCTACCACTTCAAAAGCTGATGCTATGAAAGTGTAGACAGGATGTAAGGTTTGATCGCAGTAGCTCAAACTAATGAGCAGTTCATGCTGTTGCATTCTGACTGAGAAGTAGACATCAGAGTTAATAGTAAAATATTAAAATCGTTAGAAGTGCTGTGGATACCTATGATATCAGCAATAATAGTCTCAGATGACAAGCATTCCTGAGGATCAAAAGAAAACTAGGATACCCATGTGACTTCAGTTATAATTTCTGAGAAGCTGGGAGTCAGGCAAGAGGTTGTTCAAAATTTACAGTAGGCAGAATCTTGAATTTGCAGCATGTAGTAATTAGGAGGGAAGCTAGAATGGGAAGTCATGGAGCAAACAATGAAATTAATGAAAAGTATAAATGAAAGTCTTCCAGGCTGTGAGGACCGGGAAGGCTGTGAAAGAATTACGGGATGTGTTGGAATCAAGGGAGGTTAAGGGAACAATTAAGAAAGAGTTTGCTTTTTCATAGCTACCTTCAGGTTTGAGGATGTAGGAGGCTTTTATATTCTTATCCTGTGAACAGTTTGTTTTTTACAATGAAGCAGCTTTTTGAGATTGAGCTCTTGTAAGGAGAAATGTTGGACCAAACTAATAATTGTAAACCATAATATGGCATACCTCCAAGAATTCCAGAGAGCTTCAAGTGAGAAGTAGTTGGGCACCTGGGATTCTTGGGTTTGGAAATATGTGTTTTCTCAGAGAAAGATGCCATGGTACCAGAGCATCAAGAGAGACAATACGGACTGTAACTGCAATTAAATAAAAGGTGCTAGGGATGAAGCAGGGAAATAGAATACTGAAGTTTCTATCTGTTTCTTGAAAGCTGGTCAGAACGGTAATTAAAAATGTGTCAAAGCACCTGGAAGACTATGATAACCAAGATGAATTATTTAAGCAGAGAGTATCTCATAAATCACCTCCTCAGTTTTCTGGATGTGTCAATAAAGAAGTTAATAAAAGAGGAACATTTAATCTGATATGTTTAGATTTTTAAAAGGCATATGAGGCTGCTCCACAAAGGCAGAATCCTGACAGGGAAAAGTGATTACTAATGTAGGTCACTTTGGGGCTGTATCTTGCTTCATATTTGAATTCATGGCCTTGGCATAAATAAAAAGAGCATTTGGATGAAATTTGCTCATGGCACCAGGACAGAATGATAGGATATTATAGATGAATACTGAAAGACCTCTGAGATTTGGATGAAATGAAATCTTGGATGAGATTCAGGTATGCAAAATTTAGTGCCATGAATATAGGGACTAACATACATTTATTTATTTATTTATTCCCCCTGGGAACTCAGTTCCTGGAAATGAAAGAGAAGGAGGAAAAGGATCTTTGAGTATTAGCTGGTCACACACAATGAACTGCTAAAAGGTAAATGGGATCCAGGAAAGTATAAAGAGCATTTTCTATTTTAAAAATCTTCTATAGAATATTGTTAATAATTCTGATAATTCATTCTCAGTAATGATTAATTCAAATGGAAACAGGTGTAAGAATGGCCTCTAGGATTTTCTGGAGAATAAAGATACTATCACCAGAAATTTGGTCTTAAAAACTTTGCCGAGGAAAATGGAGACTGGGAAGGAATCTGTCCAGAAACACACCTGGTGGTAAGCAACAGGTAGGGAAAGGAGCTTTTAATTGGAAGGATGCTGCTAGTTTAAGACTGAATATGTATAAGGTGGCCCAAGTCAGGCTGAACAGTAGGGGAAAAAAAAAAATCAGAACTAAGTATGGACTTTCAAAATTGGCCTCCCCTAAACTGTGCAAACAAAAAATGTGTAAGAATTTCAAGCATTAAGCATCACAGTGTAAGATGAGAAGAACTGTTTTTTAAACAAGAACTGGCCTATAAGCAAAGGGTGGAATTGAGCAATTAATTTTCATGGCAAAAGGTTAAAAGCAGAATCTCTTAAGGATTTATCCTGTGTCCTGTGTTGTGTTTCTTTATTGTTCATCTGGTAAGAGGAAAAAAGTGAACAGCGAAGCAGCAACCTCTGCAGAAGATAAAGTTACTCAGAGTAACTGTGTTAGAGAGGTTTCTGGAATACTTTGATCAGACCTAAACAGGGAAGGCATCTGGACAGCACACAGTAATTGAAATTCTGTATCAACAGTGCAATGGCAAGGGCTGATGTTACTCCTTCTGGGGTTTAAATTAACTCTACATCAATCACAGACATGAGATTTCATTACACATTGTGTGATGTCCATTGTGTGGACAATCTTACCTGAATGCTCTGGGGGGGACATGGACGTCTGCCCTTAAAGAGGAGACTTCAGGAAATGATGACACAAGCTATTAATCCACGTAAGGACTCAGGGAGAGGTATTGGAAAAACTGAGGTTGCTATTTTGGAAAGGAGAGATATGAAAATGGACAGATAATTTGCAAAATAGTTGCTGGAGTAGGAAAAGTAGACTTGGAGCTTCTGTTCTTCCTGTATCACAATCTTAGAACAAGGGACCATTCAGAGAAACTGGGGAGTGAAAATGAGGAAACGCTTTTCCAGATCATGAGATTACGCTGGTAAATTCATTGCCGAAGGAAGTGATAGAGCCAAATACTTCACTAGCTTTCAGAAAGCTCCCACAAGTATCTTGTGCTGTTCTCAATGACAGTACAGTTGGGACAGGGGTATTTCTTAGGGTTATGCTTCCAGAAGCTGTTGAGATGTTGTGAGGCGGGACATCCTAGCTGAGGACACCAAATTATCTGGTAGGTGACTGATGACCAGGAGAGGCTGTAGTGAAGGATGTCTCAAAGGCGTATGAGTCACACTGAAACATAACTCAATTTAAAATGAAGGTACAGAGCTGAAGAAGGGGGTTGACCTAAGTTTCCTTTCATAGCCATTTGCTGTCTAATACTTCCACTCAGCCTAAGGTGGTAGAGTGGAAACAGGAAAAGGAAACAGCCACCAAACTTAATTCAGTTTCTTCCCTGAACTGTTTTTTGATCAGTTCATCCTGGAAAGCACAACATAGTCCTTCATGTAATGTTACCACTGGCCAGACACGGTCCTAATTACTTGCAGGATTTTGTGACAGTGTTGCTATTTGTGTTTTGAAGTTGGTGGTTTATAGGAACAGACAGCATCAGTGACCTGTCCAGGGAAGGAACTGGGATAACTGCATTCTTGTGCATAATCAAAATATCTTTGCCTCAAATATCTGAGGAGACAAAGGATGAATAAAAGGGAAAAAGAAGTATTTCAAAGGCTCGTGTAAGGTTTTCAAAGGATTTTTGAATGGCTGCTGTCCTGAAATAGTGTCTTCTGTTTAAGGAGTCTGTGTGAGGGAGAGAGATTACTTGGTAACTTGGTAACAAATTAGAAGTAAAAGTTTGCAGAGTCCCTGAACACCAGTAGGCTTGGTTCAATCTGTAAGCTTTGAAATCTTAATGTGAATTGTCCTTAGCCCTTCTTAAGGATAGTATGAGCCAGCAGTTCTGCTCTGAGTTAAAATGGCACTGCTGCAGTTATGACATGTACTTGGTGATGATGCAAAATATTCAGAGCTCAGCCTGAGACCCTGGAAGAATTACTCTCAGCAAGATGAGGAGCCATATACTCAAAATGACCGGTTCTGGCCTGGAAAACGTTTGTTTCCTGTAGGATTTAGAAAGTCTGCGCTTCCCCAACTGTGGCTTTGTAGTGATATCTGACACATGCAAGCCAGTAGCTCAGGAATACAATGAAAGAGGTACTTGTATTTCCCAGTACTCCTCTTCAGTTCTTGATAGGCAGCACAAGATTTAAGTGAGCGCTCCTTTCCAGCTCAGAAAGAACATGGGGGTCTGAAGATGAAGCTCTGGGAATACATGAATCCTATGTTAGTGTTCAGAGTAACCTGGCTTTGTTTCAAGCCAGCATTGGCTTTGGCTCTGATTGGAGTCTTTGTGACTGGAATCAAATCAGTGGGAGTCATGTGGTAAAGCACAGCTCTGTGGTATAGCAATGCAAAAAGGCAATGCAACTTAAAACCAAAACCAAACCAAACAAACAAAAACCCAAGGAGACAAAAAAATCAATAAACTTGTCTCTGCCATCATGGTGAATCAAGCATTACATGACATGCTAATGAAACATAACTTACGACCTAAACTCCATTAGTCCCTGCTCCAGATTATTTTGGTACCATGCAGAGAGCCTAAAGTAATTGGGAAGTATGAAAAGTGAACAAAGTGTCTATAAATTGGCTCAGTGCCCGCTCAGAGAGAAAGGCTGACTCTGTGTTACTAAATCAAACAGAACTCTTCCCTGATTCTGAGGCTAATGGACATGGAGTAGCCATGCTGTTAAACTCTCTTGCCCACCAGCACAGGCTGGCTGCATGCAGACTGACTTCTGGACCATTCCTTGCCATGTGCTGACTCCTAAACCGTGCAAAGAAATGTTTGGAAGATTGCGAGCTGGCTGCCAATAGAACTTCAAATATTATATTTCAGTGCTGGGGAGCACTTCCAGCCACTGTTTCATTTACTAGTGTGGTTGTGTAACCAAATAATCACTGTCACAAAATAGTTTGGAGTGAATGAAGACCTGCTCCTGGCCTAAGAGGCAGGAGTCAGGAGCACCAACATCCACATGGAGCTGGAGTGTGGCCGGCTGCTCCTGGGATTTCATCATCTGCGTTACTGGGTGTGACAAAATGTCATGAGTCATCCCTGCCTCTGGGAACACCAGACTTGGAAATTCACAGGGGACTGCGTGCCTGACTGGTAAAGGCAGTTTGCTGGAGTTTGTGCAAGATGGTCATGAAGGAGGTTGGGTAGTTCCAGCAGGCTGGCGCAGGGAACAGGGGCAAGAGCAAGGGTGGCATGAGGGAAGACAAAGTTAGGGCTCCAAAAAGGAGCTAAGCATAAATGAGAACAAAACCCAGAGGGCTACAGTCAAATGCCATCAGGATGCCCTGCTTCTGAATTGTTCATGCAGTCTTTGGGTTTGGTGCCCTTCTTAAATGGGAAGGGAATAATTCTCTGCCAGAGGATAAAGTGATGACAAGAGGGTGAATTTGTGGCTACCTGCAGAAACTCTTGCGCTGCAGTTTAAGCCGGGCTTCAGCAGAAGCTGCAATAGTGCCCATGAAAAGAACATGTCAGGGCATACTATCTGATACGAGATCTCTGTCTTCCATGAGGCCTCTGCCCCTAAACCAGTGACGGGTCCCTTGGCTAGAGAGGGAATGAGGCTGGCTGGTGGTGTGTATGTGCATTGGTAAACAGGGGTGCAATCCTATAAGGTGATTTCTGCAACAGGCAGGCGAGGTTGGTAATTTTATGCTCATTAACTGACCCACTGTGGATGATTCATTCAGCAACTCTTGGGGCTAGAGTGAGGATCTCTAATTTAGGGTGAGCAAAACTGCAGGCTTCAGAGGCTAGGACAGAGTCTTGACTACAGCACATGGAAGAGTCAAGAAAACTGGCTGTGTTGACTTGAAAACCATGGAGAAAGCTTGCAATGCAAGGAATGATCTGGAATCTAGACTGGATTAAATAATTAAATAATCTAGTATCATTAACGATCTCCCTCGCTCCCTTCTACAGTGACGGAATTGTGATGTGGCCAGAGTAAACGCCTGTGGAATAAATGGAGGAAAACCAGCCCGACTTAGTAGCGGAGGCGCAGATCTTGACACTTCTTCTACATTTCTAGGTGCTCTTCGGTTGCCACCAGATGGCAACAGAAATCCGTCTAAGCGCGGCAGGATTCTGCAGCGACTGCTCAATTCCTGCTGCTTTCCTGCCTGGAAGGTTTGCAGGGGCGTTTTGCACAGCCTGCCTACCAAAAAGGAAAGGAAAGAGAGAACAAAACAAGCCGGCGTGATTTTCTCGTCACCAGGCACGCAGATGGTGGGGTTTGTGCAGCTCGGGGCAGCGGCGGAGCGCTGCTGTGTGATGTGGCGTGTGTTCCTGATGAAGAGGAGCATGGATGTGCCAACCCGCTCTGCAGTCAGCTGCTGCTGACTATTGCAGATGTGTTCTCGGTGACCCAGAAACGAAAATAGCTAAGGGTGAACTCAGGACAGGCGTTGAGGTAGACGAGCAGGCTTCGGGAGAGCCCCGAGGAGCAGGGGGGTGCAGGGCTGCATAGCTGTCAGTTAAACATTGCGGGAAGTCAGCCATCTCCTCCGTAGCCTCTGTCACGAAGCGGCAGCAGTCCTGCCCTTCTATTTTGCAACAGGTCCCTCCTAAAAGAAGTGCTGCCACATCTTTAGCCCCCTGCCCCCAGGCACAGGCGCATCGCTTAGCAACCCCTGCCTGAGACGAGCGGGAGAGCCGGTTTCCAGGGGCAACAGGCGCATTTTTACATCATAAATAACTGTTCGGGTGCTCCCGAACACCTCCCGTCTGCTCTGGCTGGGCTCACAGCGTCAGACAGCTGGAAACTGAATCCCTAAAAGTGGCCCTTTTTTCCAGGAATGGCAGAGGTGAGCTTGGAAAGAGGGCTTCCCTGTAACGCACACAGCTGATGTAGCTAATAAAGCTAATTTGGCTAAATCAGCTAATTCAAGAGACGGGGTGGCTCATCTGCCTAGTCCTGGCAGCCTTAGAGTCACTCAGGGAACACGAAAAGCAAGATAAAGGAAGGAAGAAAGGAAAAGAAAGGAAGGGAGACTGGTGAGGGAAACGGAGAAAAGAAAACAGGGAGTGGGTGGGAGAGCTGGGGTGAGGAGAGGCAGTGCGTGGAATGACTGGGAGGGCAGCTGGGAAGCTCCATGATGAGCATCAGAGAGTGGGGTGCAGATGGGAGGTTTGGGGAGTGAACGTGTGTTGGAAGGAATGCTTTCCATGATTTAAGTACCCCAGGAAACCTGTCTAAAACTTGAAACTAAAAGCAAGACAAAGGGAATTTTAAATTGCAAAAAGATCTAGAGCTGGGGAACCTTAGGAAAAATGAGACTTGGCTGTAAGCCAGCAGTCCTAGGGCACAGGAAGGAGATCAGGAAACTCTTCAATACACATGCCACAGACATGATGTTCATTGCAGATCCCCTGCAACAAAACAGTGAGAGCCCTGCTGTAGCCAAATAATAGTGTTTTCTATATTGTATTGTCAACAGAAAAGCTCTAGGAAATTTTACAGATCTGTGTACATCTGGAGAGCAGGCCAAGCTCTTCATGCCTGTTAAAACAAGATCATACATCAGTATTTAAGTGCAAAAGGATACAGCTAAATAAACTTTGTCACGCTATTTTGCGTTATCCACACTACATTATGGATATGTGTGCCTACGTGTTGTTTTGTAAATGGTCTGGCCTTTTAAGGCTTCCTGTTTATCATTTTCTTGTAGCTTGTATTCTCTTTTTAACAGCAGCAAGGAAAGAAAAGCCAGTCCAGAGGAGGAAATGGTTAGGTGTCATAAGGAGACAAGAGTGTTGCAGTGTATTAGTGTGCATTTAAAGATGTAAAAGACTAATTGATCTTAAAGTTGAATGAGTAACACAAAATAAGTATCTAGACTTTAGCTAACGTTCCCCAATATGTGGCCACCCCGCCCCTGGCAGTGCTCAAGGCCAGGTTGGACAGGGCTTGGAGCAACCTGGTCTAGTGGAAGGTGTCCCTGCCCATGGCAGGGGGTTGGAACTGGATGAGTTTTAATGTCCTTTCCACCCCAAACCATTCTGTGAGTCTGTGATTCAATATTTCACCCATCCTCAACCTCAAATGAGAATGCTGTGTCAGCTAATAGAGACAGGTTTGTCTATCATAGTGGTTCCCTTGTCTCACAGGGCAGGAGGGAGCGCCCTGTCCCCACCACAGCTCTCCCTGTTCGGTGTCCCCGGGCTCTGGCCGACAGAGGGGAGTGCTGGAATAGGTTGGCCCCCATTATGCAATCCGGATTTTGCTACCACTTGCCTTGTCCTGGATACCAAAGGCACCCCTGGGAAGGTGGGATCAGGCCTCCTCGTTGATCTTGATGTTAGCTGTTATTCAGCCCTATCTGTAACCTTTTGCCTTCATGCTTTCATTCCAGCCTTGTATTCTAGTCTCTCCTTTGTGCCCTCTCTGCTTCCCTGTATGATCAGCAGCGGTCCTCCTGGATCCTGGCCTCACCTCATCCATATCTAAGATGGAAAATAAGTTCTTTGTTCTTCTATTAAAAAAATATTGTCTTTGAATTAGAGGCAGGAACAATAAACTTGTAGTGAGAAACAAGTACATATTAAACACATGCAAAGCGGAAGCAGCTAAATGAGAAAAGCCATGTGATTCACCTGAGAATGGGTTAAAAAATACCTTGTGAGTAGTTGAGTCTGAAGGGAAAAGCAAGACTTGTGTCCTGTTTAGGGTGATGAAAACATTGTGTAAAGGATCTTCTTTGGGGCAGAAAGGGAGGAAAAAGAGACAGGTTCCAAAAGATGATGGCCAGAAAAAACCCCGAGAGACTTCTGGAAAGCATGTCAGAAACTGATAAAAACTGAGAGGCACACAAAGAAACACAGATTTCTGGCTTCAATTAGGAGTTAGTGTACACCTCTTAGATTCTAACTTGATCCAGTTAACATGACTTAAAGCCAGTCTGCTGTGTCCATATTAAATTGATTAAATGACCAGATTATCCTTTGTGGCTAACATCACACCATCAACTCAGTCTTGATTAAGCCCAAAAAAGAGAGGAGGGGGTAGATGTTGGAAAAAATGAGTCTGGAGAGAAGACAGATGATGGAGAGGAGATGATGCAGAAGGTCAGTGTTGCAAAGGCAAGGGGGATGTGTAATGTGCAAGAGAGGATGTGCAGGAAATGGGCAATGCTGGGTAAAGAGCATAGCACAAAAGCTTGGGTGAGAAAGGGGACTTGTTGCAGGACAGCAAGTACAGGGCAGATGTGTGAGAAAGGAAGGCTGGGGGATCCTGTTGCACATTCCCATCACGTTACCTGTCTCGGAGCTTTGGCAGCAGGGATGCTGATGTAGGAGAGAACCTAAGAAGGGGCAGGGATTCCTGCTGCTGTGGAGGTGGGGAACAGGGGATAATGGGATTACAGAATGAGAAAGCTTGAAGTCTATTTCCAGGTCTGGCATGACTGACCCTCATCATAGGGCATGGGTGTTAAATAGCTCTGACCTTTGTAAACTATTGGGAATATCAGTTGCTGCTGCTGTTACAGTTTCTCTGTGCAGTCCTTAACATGGTGTCCTGAGTAAAGAGTTAATGATGTATGAAGGCTGACTTTGTCTGGAGAGATGCTAAGATGCCCAAGAAGATTCTCTTGTTCTAAGGCCTTACTGGCTACAATGGCTCATGTTGTCATTGAATGTAACCATACTTATTTACAAGAGGAAATACACCAGTGTTCATCTCAGTGGGATCATTATTCTGCCATGGCTGTCTATGTATCTGTTTTTATAGAAGATAAAAATTACCTCAATCAGTAATAAGAACCCTGCTTCCAAATCCATTTTTAGTCAGGAAGAGAAGCACAGAGCTTTGAAACAACACACACCAGGAACGGGTCATGTAGCTATCAAAATAAGCGTTCTTTGTGAAACAGGCTGATAAGAGATTTTTTGCAACAGATCTAAGACGAGATGACTCACATGAAAAACTACAAGATGAATTTGTTTACACTTCTGAAAAGCTGCCCATTTGTGACCTACACTTTTATCAAATGCAGATAAAAAGCCTAAAATGATCCAATGCACAGCAGAAGAATGACAAACAGTTTCTGTGCTTATGTGGCCCATGACGGAGTCAAAGGAAGCAACATTGGGAGAGCTCAGGATGTTTTAGCATGGTCACAGACACAGACACTCCTTGTCTGAAAGAAGAAAAAATGTCAGCCTTTTACCAAAATCATGAGCCAGAGTAGCCCTTCAAATTGCTGTACACCTAAAGTTGTTCTAAAGTTGTTATATACCTGAAGGCAGAGCCCTTGTCCCAGATGGAGCAAGTGAGGACACCTGTGAATGGAAGACAGCCATCAAGGTTTAAAGGGGAGGAAGTGCCTTGTGTCATTTCCAAGATTCCTAGAAACAAATGAGCTGGTGAGGTGAGGGGGATTGCATTGTGCCCTGTGGCAAGCCCAGAGGCACCAGGGAACTGCTGCAGCCTGCTCATGGAGCCAGCCTGGCCCTGCAGTTTGTGTCTTTGTCCCTCCAGCCCCTGTGGGGTGCAAGGAAAGGACAAAGCCAAGGACCTTGCAGATGCTGCAAACCCACATCTGTCCAGGATCACTGGTCCTGGGTGGGTGCTGGCATGCTGGCTCTTGCTGTGACAGTGATATCCTCTTGGCAACACTTTTATTCCAGCCTTTTGGAGTTGAGAGGGGAAGAAGGAGAGCATAGGTGAGGGTAAAGGAAGTAAAGAACAAGTGAAAGGGGAAAGGAGGGGACACCCTGAAGGTCTGATTGCGGTATTTGTGTCTGGGCAGCCAATGGCTTTCATAGGGGGCAAGTATAAAGACATCAGCCCCTCTGTTCTTTAGAATGAAAGAAAATCTGGAAGCAGAGGGTTGCAGAGTCCTGCAGACAGCACAGCTAACATTCTGATCCAGATGTGGCTCCTCCTTTTGCTGTGCTGCCTTTCACCTGCCTGTGTTCCTCAGTGAAGGCAGGTGAGACTGGTAGGCTGTGTGGAGGATGGAGATCAAGCCAGGTCAGCTGAGGCTGGAAGCCTTGCAGGGGACACCAGTATCAGAGTCTCCAGAGCAGGAGGTGTTGCCCTGAGGAAAGTGGGAGGGTAATTACATGTCAGAGAATTAGGGAGGCAGCTGAAGAAAGTGTCATAGGGCACGGGGTGAGGGCAAAGATTTCAAATGGTAGCAGAAGTCCTCTGCAAGGATTACCTGGGTGTGTAACCGAGGGATGCTGCAGGCAGAGGGAGCCCCAAAGGAAAGAAGCTTGTGGAAGAGCTGTTGTAAGGTAGGGATTAACATACCGGGCGAGCATACACAGGCTTGTCTGTGTTGGATTGCTGTGTTTAAGCTGTATCCAATTTTTCAGGCTGTAATTGCTTGTGTTCATGCGACTCGTGCAGTGGGTAGGATAGGTGACATACATTCTCCAGTTCTCTTTGAAAGGGAGTTAGATTTATTATCACTTAAAATGCTGTGGGTCCATCTTAATTTCACATTGGTGGAGGCTGACAGATTGCCAGTGGGGGGTCACAAAGTGGGGCATCTCTGGTGGGGTTCCAAAGCTATAGGCAAGGTGGGGATACAGGGAGCACAGAGTGGGGGGAACATGATACGTGAATGCCATTGATTGTTGCCAGAATTTTCAGCATCTTTCCTGCTGGGGAAGAGCCAGAGTGAGGTCAGGGCAATTGTAAGGTCCTCCCTGCGTGGATAAAATCCATATCTGCTCCATGTGTCCTACTGCCACTGCCACAAATGCCCAACTCCCGTGTATGTGTGCACTTGCTCCTATTCTTGTTATGCCTCTCTGCTTAAAGGATGACAGAAAAGGGTAGAGAGGCAACAGAAGAGGAGGGTAACTTGCCGTGGAGCAGCAGGAATAGCTTATCTGCCTTACAAGCCAGCCTTAAATGGGAATTTGGAAGAGAAAATGTCCCCATATCAGGGACTCTTCTTGTAGAGTTACCCCACTGAGGTATCTCAAACACCCTCACTGGTTCATTGGAAGCTGAAACACGACTGCCCACGAGCTGAGCCTGTGGTAGGGGAAGGAAAGCAGAGTGGAACCGGAAAGGCTGGTATCTGCTTGGTTTATTGCCCGAGAGCCGGGTGTGTTTGTCAGCCAACACAAACTGGCCTCCCTGTTCTCTTCTGGGCACCTTGAAAACTGACCAGCGGAAGGTGCTGGGCAGATTCAACATCTGCACCCGCTGCTTGGCAGAGCATGCTGAGCATGTATAAACCTGCTGCACCACAGCAGTTTGCAGCGTGTCCAGATATGAGGTGATTAGGGAGCCAAAATTAGAGACGGGAAAAGATGTGTGGTATTTGACCATGCCATGTGGATCCTGTGTGACTGCAGTCTAGGCAGGTCCTTTACTGCACTGCAAGCCACCATGGGTTGGGTTAGCCTTTTGAATACTCCAGTGTGGAGAACAGGCTATAGGGCTGAAAGGGTAGGTTACGTTTTTGGTATGTATTCTTCAGTGCTCCTCTCTTTAATCAAATTGTCTCCTGTCTACAACAGCTTAGGAGCAATGAATGTCACAGTATTGAGGAACTCTTATTCCTCTCGGTGAAAATTAACACAAGCAGCCACAACAATGCTTTCATGTTCTGTGCCGGAATATCCCCAGGGCTGTACCCCAGTTTCTTTTGGTGCATAACACCAACCAGCGGGTGCCTTTGGTTTTCTCCTGAGTTTAGGAAGAGTGTCCCGCTGGAACATCAGTTTCCCAGTCATCTAAGCACAGAAAGTTGGAGTGCGACTCTAAAGGTGATTTTGTTGTTTCTGGCCTGGGCTAGATGGACAGAGTCTGCCATGTATAGGTTCCCCTGATAG